TTCACTTCATGAAGGGAAAAGTGCTACAATGCAAACCATTAGTTTGACCCAACTTTATTTAAACAAAAAAATTAACTCTTATTTCATGAAACGTTATCGTTAATATAAAACAAGATTTCAACACATACTTAAAAACAAAAATCAAAAATAGGAACATTACATAAGTATTTGAATAAAAATAAAAATCAAAAATAGGAACTTATTGAAATTATATTATATCATAACATGTTTTGGTTCCATACACATACATAGGTAATTAAATTTATTTTTCTATTGTGTTATTCAATTTCAATGACAAGAGAATTCAGAAGTTCGAAAGCTTTTTCTAATTTTTCAATTGGGAATTTTGGTTTTTCCGGTGAAGCATTTTCTTCATTTTCATTATTGTAGGTACCACTTGTAAAGTGTTGCCAACGGTGTTAAAAGTCTTAAAAAAATTTAAAAAACAATTACGATAAGCGAGGGAAAAATTTATGGTAACTGAAATAATGCCGCAAACAAATCTATACGTTAAGCGAAATTACTTAAAAAGAAGTTACGTTAAGCGAGGGAAACCTGTATACTATTAAATAATTAACATAACAGTATTTTTTTTGTACTTGCATTTGTTAACTTAATTGGTATCACGTATTTTTTTTTGTATTTGCATTTGTTACATTAATTAGTATCACTTTAAAGGTTTATCACACACTATTGTTAACAATCACATTTTAGAAATTTGTAGGTAAATAGCTTGTTTTTTTGAGTTCCATAATTTCCATTTTTAATTTTATGGAAGCCTATTTTTGATTGCATGCTTTCGGATATTTTTAGTTTTTTTTCCATTGTATCAAACATTCCTTTGGTATATTTATTTATATGAAGCATTGAATCGCATATTTTATTTAACATTTCAGTTTGAGAAACCAATAAATCTTGTTGGGTGCTTGTTGAACTAGATTAAGGCTCAATACTATTGATAATGTTAATCTAAAAAAATTCACTAATACTCCTACACCTATTTGAAATATTATTAACAGTAATCCATTCACTTTTAATATCACCAATTAGTAATTCATTACAACAATATCCCTCACGACAAAGAGGAATTTCACATCTAAGTTCATTGCATAAACTGCGATAATAATTGAAAAGTCTGCTATTATTTGGATATTTTGGATGTTTTCTACTTAATTTATTCTTTTTCCTAATTATCCATACTAAAACATCGCCAATACAAGGTTTGAGTTTATTTATATTTTTATTATTCTAAACCGTCGGAGACATACGCAATTTAAGCGTATTAATAAATACATGTACAAAAAGCAGTAGATGAATCAACCCATTTGTAAACAGTTTTAAACATTCATAGCTAAGCAAATTATTAGATCTCTTTTAAAGAGTGCAAAGTAATTTCAGATACGTTAACGTTACACAACATCAAAGAAGCCATACAATGATTAGAAATACGAAAATCAAGAACACCACACTTTCACAATTTTCAAATTATTGCTCAAAAATGCAACAGCAATATGATCAAGGCATGTGCCTGAATCGCGCCGCGCGATACGCTCCACAACAGTATATAATCCATAAGAAGCTAAGATAAACTTACATTTATCTATATCGAAATTTGTGTTATCAAGAAGATTCAAATTTATGTCTCTTAGCAAACTACCTAGTTCGTCAAGAAAGACGCCTCTTTTCAAATTAGTTGCATGCTAACTGAAAATGCATAACAAGGCATACTTAGCATTTAAGTGTAAAACATCTACATTCTAAACATTTACATTCTACATTCTAAACTACATTCTCAATTTTTAATAAAAAATACCTACACCGCCACAAGCGTATGAGTTATTACATGTAGTCAAAAAATCGTAATCTGGAATAGAATAGTAAATTCAGTATTTTTTATTTTTGCAGATTTATTGACTAAATGATAAATACACACAAAAATATAACCCATAGCAACAAATTATTATTTCTACGCTATTACTTTTTTCAAATTTGGTAAAAAATTTGCAGCATGTTATTTTAGCAATGTTTTAGAAACTTAGACATTTACTTTTTTTTATCAAACTACCTATTTGGGCAGATTTTAAAGTTTTGGCTCCTGATTTGAAGATCTGAGGTTCTTGATTTTTCTCGGCCAGAATATTCTGCGGTTTGATCTACGGTACTTACTTATGAAGACCTGTATTTTGTTTGTGCAGTTTGTTTTTTATTAGACCGGTCTCACTTCCATATAGGAGAGAAAGGCGGATGACGGATTTTAAGCATGAGTTAAATATTCTGATTTTTGTGCCTTATATGTACGTTTAAATACTAATGATTGCCAAATTGCTTCTCTGTTGATTGTATTGAACACCCTTTCGAAGTCCACCTAAGTTAGACTATAAGCGCGAGTACCATGGCAGCCGCATTTAGTATTGTTATACGTCTCCAGTTCTTGCATTCCGTTAGGTCCCCCTTTTTTGGTAATTTTACTATGATGCCTTTCTCCAACTGCATGTTATTTTTTCTGTTATCTTACATCTCTCTTACTTGGCGGGTTCAGGACTATTTCGATGTTACGTCTAGTATTATTTATTTCTTGATATTCTTGTACTTGCTGTTCGAGTTTATTGTTTATTTCTTCGAAGTGCTCCTTTTATCTCAGTAGCTGTTTTTGTGTAGACCACAATGACTGGTTCTCTCGGTTCTTGATTAGTTGGTTATGATTCTTGGACTTATTTGACAGCGTTCGTATGTTGTTGTAGAGTACGCGCATATTTTTTACTTCCACTGATTTTTGTGGCGATCTTGTTCTCTTATCTTTTCTTACTGCTTTCTTTACTTCTTCGGCTTTCTCTTTATATTGAATCATTAGCTCCACACCAATGATTCTTAATTTTCTTCTCTCTCCATGTCATGTCTGAGATCCATACTTTTATTTCTCTTCTGGTAACGCCTAAGACCTCTTCTCCTACTTGTCTGAATATTATTTGCATACCTTCTTCACTCGAAGTTCTCTGGTTTCTCATTTTCTCGTCAATTTTTGATAAAAATTCTGCCTTTGTATTCTCATTTTTGAGCTTTTGAGTGTCTATTTTCCTTTTTCTTTGAGTATTATTACTTCTAATGGTCGTAGGTTTTAGGCGGATATCTCCTGTGCGAAGCATACGGTCGGAAACCACGTCAGCGCACCTCTATGTTCTTACATCTAGGAGAGATCGTCTCCATTTGTGACTAATGCATATGTGGTCGATCAGATTTCGGGTGCGTTGGTTCGGCGAGGTTCATGTGTATTTATGTAATCACTTGTGCGGGAAGATGGTTCCGCCTATCACTATGTTGTGTTTACTTCCGATTTGCGGTTAATGGCTCCCACTTTAGCGTTCATGTGACCCATCATTACTACAATATCTGATCTGAGGACGTCGCTGAGTTCTGCCGTTAGCTGTGTGTAAAATTCATCTTTGCGTAACATTGCACTAGAGTCATTTTTCTCATTCTCCTGTGTATTCTTGCGATTATTATTCAGATATTGCGCGCCGACTTACTAGACTTTTCTTGAGTCTCTTAGAAATTTGTATTCCAACTCCACCTTCGCTGTTTTTGTTGCCACTGTATACTACGATATTGCCTTTGATGTTGTAAGCTCATCTATTCCGGGCTATCTCATTTAACTTATACCAAGAATCTCGACCTCGTATTTTGAAGCTTCTTTTTCCACTCGTGGCAGTCTCGAGGCTTCTTTTAGCGTTCTAAAATTCCAATTCTAGTCCTTTTGCGTGCATTAGTGATCGTTACCGTGCTTCTATCTGATATCCGAAGCTCTGTTTCTATTTCGTTAATCGGCTGAAATTCACTAGTCAAGATGATTAGCGTACCGTAGCTATCTGTATTTTTAGATGTAGATGATTTAAAACATAAAAGGACGATAATAGTTTTCTTTCGCACAAGCTCTATACATTTTCTTAAAAACCATAAAAAGAAAAAGAGAGTTGCTCTTTCTACGCGGTGGCGTTATACTTCCAGGGCAGTGGTTTACAATTTAAATAAATATTTTTACTACATACTCTATAAAGCTTTTGCTTTACTGTATTTACTAAAAATAACTTGATTGTATTACTCTCTCTTGTTAATTCCTCAATGTTACTGTGGTCTCTCAAGATACGTCGTTTTAATATATTTTTATTTATTCCCTCTTTATCGCAAGAACTTTCGACCCAAAATAGCATATTTTTGTAAGCAACTATATTCTATACAAAATATATTTTTGTTTAAAATCACGTTAATTTAATTATTTTTAATCAAAACTAACTTTAAATTTCATTTTTTCCTTTTCTTTTTGTTATATGAGAACTTTAACTTTTGACTTTTGAGGTCGACTATTTTGTTATTGTCAAATTTTAGACGTGGCAAACCGCTAAAAAAAGTTTCATTTATTCCGTAGTGTATTGATGAAAAGAAGCAAAAAAAACGTATAGTTCGGCCATGCTGCCACTTCTTAAAAAAACGTTACAAAAATAAACGAAACGTTTTCTGTGTTTCCTTCCTGTGTGCCAATGTATATAAAAGAGTACACTCATCCCTCGCTTTACTACTTACATTACGTTACAACCATATAATTTTCTACCTAAACTTATACAGATACATATATTTTTTGTTAATTTGCAAAAGATTTAGTTGGAATTTTTTTATTACAACATTAGACAACAAAAATCAACAAGAACTTTTGATTCTTGGAAAAAAGCAATTACTTATATATGAAAATTCTTTTCATTATTTTGCTCTGATCTTTGTTTCATATAAAACATTAGAGTGCATACATATGTATATTATAATGGTATCTACATAATATTTAACATATATGAATATTTAAACTAAAAAATTCCTAGAAATGAGTTTTTTTATATAAAAACTGTAATTTTTTAAATTGCCGAAAATCACTCTAATTCCTATTTGTTAGTCAAGAAAGACGTCCTTTTTTATACATATTCACACTTTAAATTACTTATTTGTTTTCATTGCAGGTTTCAATATTAAAATTTTGCAAGTGTAATATACTCTATGCACAATGGGTACAAGAATCGAATATGTTGATACAACTCAAATGTATGCAACAAACTATATACGTAATTCAAAAGCTGTCGCTGTTCTTTGGATTATTTTCACAATTTGTTATGCAATAATAAGTGCTGTAGCATTTGCTACACCAGGTATGAAGTTTTATTAAAATTTTCGTAACGTATTAGTTCCTAATAAGATTTACGAACCGAATGTGCAAGTGAAATTTTAAACGATAATAGATCGAGTCAATCGTGTTAACTCTGAAATATCCATGCGTTTGAATAATTTTAGGAGTAGCACAATACGACACGGATTCTTGCTACATAGTTAAACTCTGCTATAGTTCACAAAAAACATATAGGAACAACGTTTTATAGTCGCAGTAAAAAAAATCAAAATTCAATTTGAGTAATTAATTATTTTGTTTATTCTAAAATTATCTAAAATTAAATTAATTAATTATTTTGTTTATTCTAAATTTATAATTTATTGTTATGATTTGTACGATAAGGAGAGGCATTTCATACAGGAATGTGTACAGAAAAAAGTAAAAGGTAATAAAAAAGCTGTAATATTGTTAATTTGTTAAAAATTAAATAATGCACTAAATTTTTTTTAGTTTAATTTGCTTTTTTTTAATGATTACAGTTTGCTTATTACTTTTTGTTTATTATTTTGTGTATTTCCATTATTCCTCAGAGTTGCAAATGGAATGGGAAATTTATAATGCTTTACGAGCATACGTTTGTACGTGTAAAATTGTATTTCGATCGCAAAATCGGTGCAGAACGATATTCATGCGTGATCACCTGTGAGAACTGATTTTCGTTCTTAATGCGAAATTCAATTGATTTTTATATTAGGCACAGATTTGAAATTTTTTGATGTTTTGATGATTCAAAATACGCACTTTATTTACATTTTATAAAAGTTAAATTTATTTCTATTATATTTAGATTGGATTGGAGATTCGAGCCCAGAAAATATTGGACGGCTAGGATTATGGCAAGTATGTCAAAGAAATTTTGTTGCGGATGTTTGTCAAAGACGATGGGAGAATATATTATCAGTTTCTTCCCTCACATTTCAGGTATATTTTTCTTTGTTTCAACCTAAAGAAAGGACAGAGGTACATTTATTTAAAAACAACTTGTGATAAGTTTACTAATATAATTTTAGGTGGCTACAATTTTTGTTGGATTAGGAGTAATAATGGCGTTTTCAGTAATATTTCTGTTAGCACTTATGTTGTTTTTGAAATCTACAACAGTATTTAATATGTGTGGCTGGGCCCAAATTATGTCAGGTAAATATGTATGTATGCGTATATGTAATTTTTTGGGTGTTTATTTAAAAAATATAACGCACATCGTTCTTGAATGAATTTTGATCCACTTTCGTGGTTGATTTTGATATATTCGTTCTTGAATGAATTTTGATCCACTTTCGTGGTTGATTTTGATATATTCGTAATTTTTGACTGAAAGAAAATTTCTGAAGGTGTTCAAAAAGGTTTCCTAGGCATGATGTTTTATAATATGCAGCCTCCATTTTTAATTTAATTCGAAAAATTTTATGAAAATGTTAAAAAATGTTATGTTAAGAACATTCTGACGCAAGAATTTTTTTTCTCAGTAATTTTAAAACAAACCCTTGCAAAACGTTATAGCTTCCAGTCTTGTTTTAAATTGAAAATAAACATTTGCACATATTTATTTCATATTCAATTGTTTATATTGGTTATGTTCGTATAAGTTGAACTGACGTTTAAATCAATCAAAACTAGATGAGAGAACTTTAGTTTGATTCACGTTTGCAATTCCAACAATCTGTAAAAGATCTGTCGAATCGACAGCATAAATTTTTTTTCTGCTTTTAACCTCAATTAGTAAAAAACACAATTATTAAAGACTTTTACTCATAAGAGTATAGTTTTAACTCATAAGATCTCTCGCAGTCAGAACCGCAAATTCAACCTCATTCAGTTCTGATTGATACTAGTTGTCATTTGAAAAAGTGTATATTTTATTTGATATACAAAAACAATTTTGATACTATTCAATATTTAGTAACAACATTTTAAGATGCTAACTTTTTAATCCATCTTCAACAAATTCTCACTACATAAAGCTTTAGTAAAACAAAAATAACAGAAAAGAAATTTCAGTCGTGTCTTACTCGCATTAACAAAAATCATGTGCTGACACAAAATTCTAGATTTATGGGTTATTATAATTCATGTTGTGCATATTTGTCCGTATTCAATTTGTAATTCAAATATCTATAGAACTTTTACAAAAAATTTTTTGGTAAAAGCTATCATCTGTTTAACCTTTTTAATCTTTTTAGTAATTTGAACAAAATTTTTTGACTATTTCTAACTATGTGCATACGAGTGTTACAAATTAAAATTCATGTTTTTCACTAAGTTGTATGTATCTGTTTTTTGTTAACAGTCTCTTTTTGAAAAACTTTAAGTGAATTTAGGTATATGTTCAAAATATACAAGGTGATTCACTAAAGAGTACAATGTACTCTTTACTGAATCATGTTGTGTGTATGTACTTTATGGATATTGTATAATACATATACGTATCTCAGTTTGCACTAAAATCTATTTAATGGCACTATTTTTCATTCGAAAAATCTGAATATTATTTGGTGTGTTCGGACCTCATCGCTCTTCGCGCTAGATTATCTATCAAAAATTTAGTGTTGTAAGACCCGCACTAAATGATCGTACTTCCCACTAAATTTAAAGTAAAACGAGAAAAAAAATAGAGTTGACTTTGTCATGGCACTATTTTTCATGAAATTTCAATACCATAACTTTTATAGTTTCTGAGATATAGACAAATAAATTTTGAAGTTGTATGGCAGCTACCCGAACCGGTACCCCGATCAAGTCCAATTTAAATAAGGTTCTGGCACTTACTACAATAAATCATTTGTGAAAATTTGGTGAACTTAGCTCGATTAGTTTTTGAGTTATCGTTCGGACGGACGGACGGACGGACAGACAGACAAAGCTAAATCAACTCAGAATTTCACGCTGATCAAAAACATACACTTGAGTCTATATCTAACACCGTTATTTCTTAGCGTTACAAACGGTAAGGCAAATTTAGTATACCCTTCGAACATACGTTCGTACGGGTATAAAAACAACTTAAGGAAAATAAAGTTATTATATATAAAAATATTTTAAGAGAATAGTGAACATTAAAAAAAAAAAAAAATGTGTAATTTGATAAATCGTAATATAATTAGAAGATTTTGCGTAATGTTAGATGAGCTCCCGGATGCGCCTGTAGGAAATCTGCTAAACTTTTTCAACGTACTTCAATAGATTTGGTGGCGACAATCAACTGTCTTTGGTTAACAGATCGATAATAAGTCTGTAAAAATTAAATAAATTTACCGTAGCTTAATATTTTTTTTCCTTTTGTGTTTTTTTTTTTTTTATTTTTATTCCTTAAATTTAAAATTTGAAATGAAGAATATGCAGTGCAATAAGTGCAACAAAAATTGACAGGCAGCAAAAATTCGTTTAATGCACTTCTTCAGGATGTTTGCAAAAACCCGCGTGCATCGCTTAAGGGACAAAATGTTGCCTAAATTCGCTGCCAATAAAATTTCGTCATCATCTTTAGGTACCATCAACTCGCCGAACTCCTCTTCTGTCAATAAGAGCTCAAGCTTGAAAAGCAAGATCGACAGCTTGTAATACATGATTTAGAACATTGAGAGGTTTCACGAGGCATATGTTGAGAAAATACTCAAATTAAAGTAGGAAAATAGCGCCCTAAAAAAAGCTGATTTTTTTGTCCAAACAAGTTGGACTCGTTAGAGCAACACAGGCTTTTTAATGCTATAGATATACTAAATGTTTCGAATATGGAAGGTGATAACAAAATTAGTGAAGCGGTAAAAGTTCTTAATTTGACGCTAACAAATTTTATTCCGGAATATATTGAAAGCTGCTATATAAGGAAAAGACACTGGCAAAAAGGAATATCAACGAAAAAACAATGAAGTTCAAGGTCAAGTTTCGTTCCAGTTTCTCAAAAAATGAGAAATGGTCATGGAGAAAAGAAGGGAAAGGAAACATATGTTTGAATATTAATGGTGAGAATATTTATATTAGTGATTCTTTGACACAAAAAAATAGAAAATCATATATGTAAGGCACCACAAGATAAAAATAAAAAAATTTTAGTTTATATGGCAAAGAAACGCAAAGATTTTTCTTATAAAAACTAAAGGAGAAAATTATATATTTATAAAAAATTTAGTTTTAAACGTTATAAATTTTAAATTAAATAAAAAAAATATCTCTCTCTATTTTGTAAATATTTAATTTTTTATTAAACATATTCTATTCGTAGCTTGAAAAAAATTTGATTTACTCTTGTCTCGTTTAGAATTTTTCGATACCATTCCTTTCATCATTCTATTTACTGAAATATGGATTTATAATGATGAACAAAAACAATTATAATATACACTAGGGGCCCCTGTGGTTTGCTTATAAGCAGTATTATCTGTTGTAAAAACAGGATTGTGGCAATCAATTTTAAAATAAGTTTAGAAAAATTTGTACATATTATGGCATACATATGCAGGTATATACTTGTATATGCATAAATATCATATTGGTTTGAATACTAATGATAAATAAAAGTAATGGAAATATTTTTAATTTAATAAATTTTAAGATGTAATATGTGTCACTGTTAATTACATAGATATGATTAAAATTCAAATTAAGAATTAGTTAACAATTAAGAACGAAAAATTTCCTTCTAAACAACGTTATCTAGATAAGTACGTAACGTAACGTTATTCGTGTTCTTATATCTCTCACAATTTTTAGTTTTATTTTTTTTAATTCCATTCCATGTTAAATACAACAACAAAAAATTATTTTACTCTTACTTAACTCATTTAAAATATTTCGCTTCCTTTTGCTTTTTATTTTTGTTTATGGTAGTAAAGCAAAAAAACAAAAAAAATATTACTACTCTTTTTTTACTCTCTTTCGCTTTTCGCTTTTCATTTTTTGTTTTTGTTTTACAGTATGTATAATCAATTGAGTAATGTATGTACCCAGTATTCTCTTTTGCTATTTTCATTTTTTTGTTTTTGTTATTTATTAGATTATATGTATACCTGTTCATGAACTGGAAAAATCTTGTAAAATATAATATAGATGGTTATAACCTACATTGTAACTTAATGACGCGTACGCATCCGGTGATGTCGCAGTCTATATAAAAAAATGATTTTTGTGGTCATTGTACGTCAATTCGAATAAATACTGCTGATATAATAAAATAAATTATACTCTCAATAGTGCAAAATTATCAATTTTTATATTGGTCATATGTTAGTAAATATTTGTGGTTGCTTAATGTTTTTAAAATAGTTTGATTTTTTTGTTTATCCTACTTCGCTCCTAGGACGAGCATGGGACTGGTGTATGATTATTGTATATAACCATGAACCAGTTTCTGACGTCATTAAGTTCACTAGGTAGGTGACGAACCTACGTAGTTTTTTCTTTATATTAGATATTTAAAGTTTATTTTTTTTTAATGTTGAATATTATTGAAAAATTAGAATTAGATAATATTAATTTTTTTTATATATGTAATGTGTATAAAACTATATAATATTGAATATAATTTTTTATAGTGGCCTGATTGGGCTTTGAACCCGAGACCTTTCAGGTAAAGGACCAGTGCAATAACCACTGCACCATTGGTCAGGTCGAAATAGTTTAATCAATTACAAAAAAAATTAAAAAACAAATGGTTTAATTGTAATTGGAGACATCAACATTGATATAATGAAACAGTCAAAATTAAAAAATTATGTGCTTATGATGTCGTGTTATGGTTTGAATTCTCTTATTGACGCACCTACTAGAGTTTTAGATTACTCAAGCACTTATGTTGGTCATATTTTCGTAAGTATTTGTGATAAAAATTTTAGTATGGAACCAGTTATTCAAAACTTCAATTTAGTTATAAGTGATCAGAATATGATTTGCTTAAAATTTTTATTCGAAAACTATTCTCAGCGAAATAATTTAAAAGATCAGTTACATGTGAATAATACAAATTTTTTGAAACTTTGTGGGGCGTTTTGGGCAAAAACTTGGGAAGCAATATATAACGCTTCCAATCCATTTATAACTTATGATAATTTTGCATTCTAGATTTTATTATTATATTAATAATTGCTCTTCCACTCTTATCCATCCCAATAAAAAAATAAAAACTAAAACAGTGGGTGTCAGAT